TGCTTCCCCTGCTCCGCAATTGGCGCAGGTTTAACGCACCCGCTCGCTGCCAGCTCTGCCCAAACGGTGTTACGTGGCCCCTTAATGCCTTGCGCCGTGGGGGTCAGCTGTGGAGCCCTGTGGGAGCTGCCCCTGCCCAAGGTGTGTCTTTACCTCCACGCTTCTAACCGTTGCCTTTACGCTTCCTTTACAGCAGCCCAACGCAAGAATTTCCACCCTTGTTCGCCAAGAGGTAGGTCACTGACCCTCTGGAAGCCCTGCTGGGCTTGTGTGGCCTCCTGCTGTCCCAGGGCTGCTGCTGATAAATGCTGGGAGAGGAGATCCCCAGGGGTTTCAAAGCAGGGGAGGGACACTTCCCTTTAAAAAAAGGATGCTCTGGGCTGAATCACGCTGGCTGGGGTGAGCCCACAGTGTGGTAAACACTGAGAATACAGAACTGATGATGCTTCGGGTTAGGGGCAACCTGGACAAGGAGAGGCTCATTCACTGGCTTTCTTCTTCCAGGGGAGGCTGGCTCCAACCAGCAGGTGACTACCCTTCAGGCAGTTAACTTCTAAAGCAGCCGGTGTGATAGGGAGATGATGCCCAGGGTGCTCGCTGGAGCTTAAGCATTCAGCTGGTGCTACTGGTAAAGCGACTGTGACAGCAAAATGCCACTGGTTCGGGCTGAAGGTCTCGCTTCCTTCAGCCAGTTGAGATGCTCACCCGTAGCCGAGCGCAGGGAGCAAGAGGAGCAGGAAAAACCTGCCTCTAGGGGAAACAGGGAGAACACAGCTTAAGGGAAAACGAGAATAAGCTGGCCCCCATTAGCTAGCAGTGGGGAGTAGGAAACGAGGTGATATTTGTCTCTCTTTTTGCCTTTTGAAAGAATTGAGATAGAAGAAGAGGAAGGCCAGCAGAGGAGGAGTCCAACTGTGTCTGGCTCATGCAGGTTTACACTAGATGACAACAGGTATTTGCCTCATCCTGGAGTAGAGCGTGTTGACTCTCTTTGATTTTTAGAGCGCCCTGATTTGCCATCTTTGCAGGCAACTGCATTTATCTGCAAGGTACCAGCTACCTGAATGCAACTAGAGATGGAGGTTTTTCAAGAGAGACTTCTCCGAAAATCCTGATTGCCCCTTTTCTTTTTTTTTTTTTTTTTTTTTTTTTTTGCAGAAAGGGAAAGATCCAAAACAAAAACCGACACCCCCTAACGGTGAAACAAACGGGCAGGCGCGGGGACAGGGCCAGAGTGCCACAAAGTACCCGACTGGCAGCCCTGGAGGGGAGTGTGGGGGTGTGACAAACTGCATTTAACTACAGGCCAGCTCTAGTAGTGTGAGCTGTACGGCGCACACCTGCCGCTGTGCCCCTCTCCTGATCGCACTCCCCACCAGGCCCGTCTTCACAAGGTGCTGGGGCGCCGCAGGAACGAGCCTGGTGGCACTGGTGGAAAGACAGCTCGCAGGGGGCGTCAGAGCAGCCCTCAAGCAGCCATCAGGGAGTAAGGATTTTCTTCCAGCAGCAAACTGGGCTGCGTGAACAGCCCCCATCACCTAGACGTGAAATACTCAGGATCTCGTTATTTCCCATCCCCTGAGCCAGCGCTCTGCTCTCGTTAGACTTTAGATTTAATTCTTCTCCTGTGATGGCCACAGATAGGTGTGACCGCAGAGGTTCGAGAGGTTCGTTATCTTTAAATTGATCTTTGCTTTACTGGGAGATGTTGGCCTCTTTTCAAGCCCCCAGTCCATTTCACAGGCTACTGGGAAGCGCAAGGACACGCCGAGCCGTGACAGGAGCGCTCTTGCCGTGGTCTGTGAGCCCTGGGGACAGGCTGTCTCTGGTGTCAAGGGGCAGCAGTGACACCCTCCCTTAGTGCACACTGGTCAGGGACAGCTGGCGTGTGGTGAGACCAGCCTGCAGAAAACATTTGGCTGCAACGGACATGTTTACCCTAGGAGAGAGAATCCCTCTCTGTTTTCAAGCAGATTCATTTAATTTGGGATTCAGCGCTCTCTTCCTGCTCCGAGGGGTGGCTCGATGCCAGGCAGCAGCATTATTAGCTTCTCTGCCACTCTGGTCTGCAGTGGGCCCAGCAGGGAGCCAAATAAATGGGGCCTTTCAGCCCATGGTGCTTTATTTTCAGGATGGAGGAGCTGCCTCATGAATTTTGGTAGCAATTTTCTGCCGTTTGTGGTGCAGGTTTGAGGCTGGGAAGCAGTTACTCTCCTTTCCTCACATATTGCCCACCTGCACGTTGTGGGAATGCACTGAGCTTTAATCCATACATGTGGGGAAGCTGGGTTTTAGTGCAAACTCCGACATTGGGGCTAGAAACAGCTCCAGCTGTGTTAAATAGGAAAAGCCACTTTCTAAAGACGCAGTATTCCAGCAGAAAGGCAGGTACCAGTCACACCGGTGTGACAGCGCTTAGGGACAACCCCGTGAGCCCCTTGCGCAGCGGGGCTTGGCCTCCCTGCCCAGGAAGCAGACACAGGAGCTGTGGGCCAGAAAGCGGGCCACGGGAGGAGGCACCTACAAAATCTTCTGTCTTTAACGCTTTGCTACTTGTTGGGTGGTTGGTTTTTTTTTTTGTCAGTGCTAATGGGCTAAGAAAAACCACCACTGGGTCTTCCTGGAATGAGCCAAGGACAACAGCCGTGTCTCCCTCCAGGTGAGTGTTAGAGCACGGCCAGGATGTCTTGGGCATCTGTGTCAGCCCACGTGTCGCTGTAGGTCAGAGAGTCACCTCTGGGAGGGGAAAGGAAGCAAATGGGTCATGGGAGACTTTTTTTTTAGATGCAGGCAGCTTTTTTATAAAAGGTTTTCTGTCTGAAATCCATGGTATGTCATGCAAGGATCTGACAATGTCCCGATACAAGTGCTCAAAACCTGCAAGGCAAAAAAACCCAAACATGCTGAACTCTTTCTCTCCAAATATGTGTGGGGGAATAATCTTCAGTTGCCTTCAACTTTGCCTGCTTGATTGAATTCATGACTGTAGTATAAAACGTGTCGAAATGGTTTTCCACAGCCCTGCAAACAGCGCTTTCGTTACTGACCTTGTTCTGTTCCTTTTATTCCTGGTGTATCGTTGGCAGGAGGTAGATACCCAGCAATATCAGCCTTTTTAATTTAAAAATTGCTTCTGATAAGGTGACTTTGTAAGTGAAGGTATTGAAAACGGCGGTGCTTGTTTTCCATTTTATTTATTCACAGAAAGGAACACTTCAATGCAGGAAAACTTTGGCCAGCTGCAGTGGGGAGCTGGTTTGTTCAGGAATGACAGCTTTTTTTCTTTACCTTCTCTCACAGCCCTAAACCAGGCAGCAAGAGCCAACCAACCACGTCCTGGGGTGCAACCCCAGAGAGAATCTCCTCTTCTGCTGAAATCAGGTAGGTCTGTTGGCCCTGCATCATCCCGAGGCTCCGCTGAGGACAGCAAGGGGCACGCTGCCCGGGAGAGTCTGGCTCTGCTACGTGATATTTCCCCAGGATTGTTCTGGACACAGTGCAGTCACGGGACAATAAATATTACAGCCCAGGGAATCTAAGAAAACAGCATTTTACAAAAGCATTACCAGTCTGGGAGGAAACATACCCAGATGGAAGCCGTGGGCCTCCCATAGCTTGAACATTCCCCAGTTCTTTATGATAAGAGCACGAGCCCAAAATCTGCAGCCCTTTCCATCTTTTAAACTGATCAGGCTTCCATTTGGATCCCGCCCCTGCACTGTACGTAGCACACTTCCAGCAAGCGCCTTGCCGTACAGTTCCTCTGCCTCGCCTTGTGTCCCCTCCTCTCCCTACCTCAGGGTTTTGCTGCTTTCCTTCCAGAAACGGTGAAAACAGACCGGCCCTTAATGGGAAACCCTCATCTGAAACTGTGTCACAGCGTGGGGAGGGGTAAGGAGTTGAAAAAGGCCGCTCTGTGCGGCAGAACATAAGGCATAGCCCTGCTTTTTGCTCAGAGATAGTACGTACCTGCTGGTGGTCTCAAACAGATGGGATCTCTCCAGTCGCGGCCCTGGGCTGCACTCCAAGAGCATCATCTGCTGGCTAAGCTGCAACTTGTCAGTTTTCTCTGCTCTTCCTTCACCTCCCTCAAGGATTCTCCTCTCTGGCTCAGTCCCTCAGGAGCCTACTTTAGGCATTTTTATTTATTTTACTGCTCCAGTTGCCCTCCCGCTGCCGTTCCCTGGGGAGCTCTTTCCACCCACAAGGGATGTGGTGAACCTCAGTTGCTGGTGGCTCCTGCTAACGTTGGTTCTGGTGCTCTGCACCCTGTAGAAAGCCTGAAGGGGTGGCTGAGCCACGGGAAAGTGTAAAGAGCTCTGTTGTACGGAGGAAAACGGAAGAAAGAAGGAACTGATTGGGAACAGGCTTGGGTGCAGGTGCTGGACATGTGAAGGGGCAGAGCTCCGACACTGTGGAGCCGTACAGGTGAGACAGGGCACGTGCAGCGGAGGGCAGGAAAGCTCCTGGCCCTCCTGAGGGGGATCGCTCCCCCCCTTGTACACTGCTCACTTCTCTCCAGTGGTCTTCAGCCTCTGAGCTGTACACGGGAGCGTTTCACGTTTATTTTAAAATACACCCCGTGTTAGCAGGGCTCTTTTTGTTCTCAGTGATCTTTGGCTGGGCCGAGACTGAAGCAGGCAGGGCTGTACAGGTGGCCTCCCCTCTCGCTCTGCTGTGCTCCGGCAGCTGCTGCGGAGTTTCTGTAGCACATACAGTTCGTGGCAACCCGCTCCCCGCCTCCATCAGCGAAGATAAAGCTAGCCATGTTCCCAAACCGCTGTCTGGGGCTGAAGGAAAGTCTAGAGTGCTTGTGAAAAGGTAGAGCCTGGGCTGTTGTCCTGGTCGTTCAGCGGAGGCCCATAAATACATCCTTGTGTGTCACCGCAGGGACAGCCTGGGGACAACGCGCTCATTGTGCTTGGGGTCATTTGGGTCACGTAGCTGCTCCTAATTGTGAGCCAGCCTCCCAGAGAAACGAGAGGGTGCCTCATTACTTAAGCCACCTAAAACTCGAGAGAGAGTAATTGGGAGGGAAGGAAGGAGACAGACACACAGCTTGACAGCTCTGGGAGAGTGCAAGGTGGGTGGAGGGTCCAGCTGGTGGACCCGTAGGAAAGCTTTTGTGGCCCGTGAGCAGAGAGAGAACAACGGCTGCAGGGTGCTCTCGCTCACCCCAGCGAAGGGGTTAGCAGCAGCTCGCTGCAGGGAGCAACACGTCTCCGGGTGTCCCACGAGCTGCAGTCAGGCCCACTGCTCTCGGGAGGCTGGCCCTCCTCGTGCTGAGCCAGCCCCACTTTGTGCTCCTCCTGCCTCAGCGGTGGTAGGATGGCACAATACAAGGGCTCTCGGGTCATAACTCACTGGTGTTTTCCTCTTGCTAGTGACAGAGCTCCGGAGGAGAAGTCTGAGCCGTTCCCAGGGGATGAACCGGCCCCCAGAGCAACCGTGGTTTCCACGAATGGAAGGTAGAGTTGGTGTGAAGAGCTTGTATTGACTCGAGCGTTGTGCCAATCACAAACTGCTGCTCTTGAGCCGTCGGGGAACTCTGAAATGGAGATGTACTGATGGAAAACCACAATTCAGTCTGTGCTTTGCACAACTGCAGCAGGTTTTTTTTTTTTTAAGAAGGGGAGGAGGGGGCAGGAGAAAACACCACCAAAATGAAATTGTTTGGTATTTTGTTCCAGCTTTTTTCTTTAGTTTCTATGATACCAAAAAAAATAATCACTTTTGTAGGTCATTTCTGCATTTTCTGGGTTTATTCCCAAATGTAAGCCGAGTCTGGAATGTAATTTCTTTTTTTTTTTACAGTATAGAGAGGTTCACACTCAAGGTCTCTCTAGGCCTCCAACCACGTATTTACTTTTGCAACAAAAGACCCCCTAGAAAACCCCCAACCCAACCCCCAAAAGGAAACTGCCCATCCTGTAAACTGTCTGGGAAACCAAAAGGTTCAGTGACGAGGAAAGGTGTGTCCTGGCTCTCAGGTACTGGGGAAAGGAGTTACAGATCCCAGAATCCCAGGCAGCACAGTGTAGCTGAGCTGCTGCTTGTCTCCAAACGCCCAAACGAAACCCACCATCCCGGCTCTGCTCGTCCTTTGGGTGTATGAGAGTCACCTGCCCCCCGCCCGCCAGGACCTGTCCTGGGCAGGATCCTGCCCCTCCGGTGGGCACCAGCGGAGTTTCGGGCGTGCAACCAAGCTGGGAGCCACTGGATCTCCTTCGCTCGGGCTCCCCACTGCGCTTCTCTTCACTGGCCCTTGCTGGAGGCACCCCCCCCTCTCTGGAAAACACTGGTTTCCTTCGATCCAGAGACCCCGGTGAGCCTGGGGGTACTGCTCAGCCATCCACCGAAGGCGACTAACCTGCCTGCTCCACGGCAGCCCCTCTCACAGCTTTTCCAGGGAGTCTGCGCCCTCCCTGGGAAACATTTAGAGATCCCCGAATCCAGAAAGGGGTGCAGGCTGCGAAGAGCCGTGGCTGTGCCTCCCTCCTGCCCGAGGACGTGGAAGGGAGGGCGGAAAGGCATTGCCCCTGTGGCAGAAGAAGAGGAGAAGTTCAGTGAGAGCTGCTCGCTGCCCACAGCCTGGAAACAAGAAAACAGAAACGTACGATTTTGGATCAAGACCCATCAAGTTCCCTGTTTTGTCAGCACTCCTGAGACAAGCCAGAGGATGTCCAGGCTGCTCCTCCCCTCCTGTGCGTGCAGCTGGAGGTGCCTGTGTTGGCAGCTGGGGGCCGTAGGACACCCCACTGGTTTTGGAAGAGTCCTGGCTTGAATTTCCAGGCCGCTGGCATCCGTCGTACCTTGATGACGTTACTAAATGCTCCTTTGTGCTTCGTACACGCCGAATTTTCCCAAAGTTTCTTGCCATTTTACCTGTAGAAACATACTGAGGAACATCTCTAGGAAGTTTTAGGGATTTCCTCCTCTCTCTTTTATTAAATGCTTAAGAAAATAATTGTAGAACATTACCCAGGCCAAACCAAAGGCACTTTCTAAAGCCCTTTTCTCTCCTTTTCAGTTATCCTGAACACACAGAAGCCAGCAATGGGTTTTACCCACCAAAGTAAGTGTAAACCTATTAACAGTGTAAACCTCACTTTTCCTCCTCGATTTTAGAGTGAGCGGGGTCTTTTCCTGACCTAGTACTGCCCTAACAAACGTCTTCTGGGAGCAGCACTTGCAAAGGGGGGGGGGTGGACCTGATCCACCAGCTCGAAAGGGACTGAGCTCTTTCAGCTTCTTCCCTTGCACTCGCGTGAGCTGGTTGGATTTACGTCTCTGCCCTTCGGGTCTGCGGCGGGAAATTTACTGAGCTAAGCGGGAAGGAAGAAAAAAGGTTGTGTTTGAGGCAGGAAAATCTCATGTGTGATGGTTTTGGTGCTTGCTCTGTCCCCCACCTTGCTAAGCTTCCCTCCGTGACCCAGGGGAGTCCCTCCCTTACCCAGTCCCACTCTGGTTGCAGGGATGGACCTGCAGCTGCTGCAGACGAGCCGCCCCGTCGGTACGAGACCTCTCGCTACCTGGAGGATGCAAAGGCTGAACCTGCAAGGTCAGGGCCTGGTGCTGGTGCTCCCAGTGCCGCTCGCAGAGCGCAGATGTGGGGGGCAGAGTAAGTAACTGGTCCTGAGTGGGAAGCAGAATCCAAACTGGGCAACAAAGCAAGCGGAGCCAGGAAACCATAGGCAGCCAACTGGTGGGAACAGCATGCTTTCTGTTCGCTGTTACACCCCAACTGCCTTCTACAGAAGCAGCCCAGGAGCAAATACAGCAGCTTTGCCGCTGCTTTTAGCATTGATCTCAAAAGCGTCTCCCTTGCACGTGCTTTTTAGCGTGTGCTTCCCCCCCTCGACAGTGTCAGAGGTGCAGAGTCGGGAAAGAATTGCTGCTGTTGACAGCAAACACTCTAATCTCCCTGAAGCTGCTTTCTTCGCTTAATTTAGCCCATTATTTTGGGACTTGACTCCATGTATTGGCTTACCAAAGGACTTGAGGTGAGAAAATGATGTCTTCGACCTCCCAGCTGAGGTGAGGAGGATCCCAAGGTTCCCAGGAGGATGGTGTAAAACCCAAGAGCTAGAGCTGCTGCTAGTCACGTAGGAATGCCTGCCCCAAAGTTATTCACATGATGCTTTGTCCCAGGTGCGTGATCCTGTGACAGGCCAGAGAAGTCATGTATCCTGCCGCGCCGTGTGTGAATTGAGGTCAAGTTCCCGCATTAGTTCCACTAACAGCCTCTATTCTTCTTGATTGGAGAGAGTGAAAATGTTTTTTTTTCTGAAGGAAAATCGGTTCTATGAGAAAATTACTTTCTGTTTCCTGGTCTCATATAAAGTGCAGCGTTGTTATTTCACACAAGTGCCCCCCGAAGCCTTTGGCAAGCTATCCAGCTGTAGATTCCTTCCTTTTATTGACAGGTCTAGCTTGCAGGCTGGTGTCCCTTCTCCTCCTACTGAGAGCGCCCTTGTGCACCTACAGGACACAGAATATCCCTTTGAAGGGTAAGAGTCGGGTAAATTTAGTGCGTGTATGAGTAATACTGAGGATTAAGGGACATGGAATGGGCAGGCACAGAAAGAGGCTTCTTTTCCCGGCTTTTGTCCCCAGGATGAAGGCGACTGTGCTGAGGTTTAAAGCGCAGCTTGCAAAAGAAACCGAGATGTTTGCGTTGTATCCCTCCTCCGCCGCCTTCGATGTCAGCCGAGCACCCCAGCTTTTTTTTTTTCTCCTCCCTTGTGTGCTCGGTGGGGTTCAGTCGCTGCTTTCTCCTTCGCTGCTGATCCAGTGAGGTGCTACAGTGCTGCTGGAGTGGCAGCAAGGGAGCTGAAAGGCCGCTGAAACGTGCTGAAACAGACCTGCAGTCTGTGGTCCCTAGAGAAAAACCCTGGTGCAGGATAGGGAGTGGTAGAGATGGACACCAGCCTTGCCTGGTGAGTAGATAGTATTTACCAGTGCAAGGGTTCGTGTGCCAGTTATTAAAGATGTCACGGGCCTTTCTTTGGTGGTCAGGTCTGTCCTGGGCTACGAGGAGAGCAGCAGCACCCAAGAGAACAGATACACGAGTCCCGAGGGCCCAGCATGCAGCAAGCCTTACTGGAACGAAGCGACGTAAGGACCTGGGGTGCTAACCCCGTATTTACTGACATTTTCTTTCTCATTACGGAAAGCCCTGGAAATACTGATTGCTCAGAAAATACTGAGCACAACCGATCGGGTGATACACATCCTGATGGAGGGCAGTAAATACCCTGACACCCTGCAGGTCTGCTTTCATGCTAGAAAGCAGCATGTTTGTCTAGAGAAAACATGGTTTGGGCTGGCACTTTTAAGAGCTCATTTTGGCGGTGGAAATGTTGCCGTTTGACCCGTCCTTTGGATTCCGAGCAGTTAAGCAGCGCTTTGTGCCGTGCTGAAGTCAGTGCTTCATCGTGCTGCTGGAATTCCCTCCACCAAAGCCTTGTGACTTTCTTTCTTCTCAGTGTGCCTTGACCTGAGCTTTCAGGTGTTTGTGGCAGCACAAGTGAGGTTGCTTTTCCTTTGCCAGGGCTTCCCAAGATTTCAAAGAGGGGAACACCCCTAGAGAAGGGGGGCACGAGAGCACGCAGGCCTCAGCTGGCTACAAACCAGAGCTGATCCCAGACGGGTAAGTGGTCAGTAGGACTCACCCGTGGTATCTGCTCCCTTCATTCCTAATTCTTCATGTCATCCCCTGTCCCCAATGTACCTGAGGCCACAGAGCAGCTCCTCTGCTTTGCACCCAGGAGTGGGGACTTTACAGCAGGCAATCCCACCCGTACTGGTGGGAAAAGCCGGTTGGATGGGAGAGACTCACCCAGTGCGGGAAGTCCAAGAGACCGTTTCCGCACTGGCAGCGTGTGACGTTGGGCATCAGCGTGGCTCCCTCGGCACTGCGTGGCAGGCAGCGGCTTCTGCTGCCCAGAGATCTCAGCAAGTGCTCCCTAAGCGGTTATGAATGCTGCAAAATCGGACACGTGTCCTGAGGTGTTGGAAGCATCTGTCAGTCCGAGGAATTCTGACACGAGTGCTTTTTCCTGTGCCTAACATTCTTCTCCTGTGACAATGGTGGATGAAAGGCCTTTAGCTGCGATCCTACAAGCTAGAAGGGCGTTCCTACACGTGACTCCCACCCAATGTGGTACCGGAGCACTTCGGAATAGCTCTGGCCGAGCCACGTCTCCTGCTCCCTGCCTGGTGGCTCCTGTCTAGGGAATGGATGTCTACCCACCCCAGCACATTTCTTCTCCACTGCCTTAAGCACAGGTCTTTATTTTAGGTTTTCAGACTCAAACCACCAGAGTGAGAAGGGGCAAGACCCTCCTGACCATGACGTCCACCCAGAGCCTCCCCGGTCGAAGGAACACACTGAACATGAACCCAGCATGACTAGGTGAGGAATCGGGTATTCACCCCCCCGCCTTTTCCTGTAGGATGAGGGTTAATTCCTCGTGTGTCTTCCCCCACGTACCTATGATGGTAAAATCTTCTCCCGGGCTCCCCTTCTGTGCCTGACTCTAGTGCTGCTTCTACTGAGTGAACCTTTCACTATGGTTTTACGTGAAAGCCTGGGAGAAAACATCCTCCTGAGGTGGAGGTGTCAAACGCAGTCCAGCTGGACTGCCAAGGGCTGCTGCCTCGCCCTTACGTCTGGGAGCAGGGATTCCCTGCTCCTTCCCACTGACCCGTGACTCCACTGGGTTTGCGGTGGCTGCCTGGGTGCCTTCAGTCTGCCTCGTGCAGAACGGTGCAGGGCTAAATGTCCAAGTGGAAGGACTTCATGGCCTGATTGCTTTGTATTTTCCCCCTAAATTTGAAGAGTTGAGGCTCTTGATCAACTTGGGCTTCCTCACACGTGTTTCAGTGAGCAACCCATCTTCAAAGCAACTTGTAAACCAGACTTCTCTTCTCCCCCAGGTCCATGCCATGCTCCAAGGACAGCACTAGCGGGAGCACGGACGTTAACAAGGGGATATTGCCCTGTGTGCAGGGTGAAGAAGTCACTTCAAGAAGGCAAGAGAAATAACGGGCTTGCTTTTTCTGATGAGAGAACATGGGGACTTTACTGCAGGTGGTTGTGGAGAAGGGACTGGGGAAGCTGTGTTTGGGGTTAGGAGTCACCAAGCTGGGCTTTCTTTAGGAGTGCATGGTGGGACAGCAGAGCGTGTGGTTAGCGAGGAGCGAGCTCAGGAGGGGGAGCTGGGAAAAGCAGCAGGGAGAGAGCAATGGTGTCAGTGTCCTGTCCTCCTGGGTCTTTCTGATGAGAGGAGTTACCCTGGATACACCACAAATACTCCAAGCTGTAGTTCTTCATCACGCAGGGAGGCCGAAGGAGGTGTTCCCAGCAACGCAAGCAGAAGTTAGACTGCTGAAGAAAGAAGTTACAGAGAGAAAACTTGCCCATTCTCTTCAGTACCCCCCAGCAAAGTGACCAAGATGGAGAAAACCCCATCTGTTGCCCACTCCATGCCTCCCCGAGTCCACAGACTTCACTTTGGATAAGCCCTCAAGCTTACCAAGCTACCAAGAGGAATGCAGAGCCCCGGTCTGAGAGTCTTGGTGCTCCCAGGCGCAGCGCCTTTGGGTCAGACTTACCAAGGGAGCAGTCAGGAATGCTGCTGCAGCATCGGTCCACCAAGAAATTCCTGCTCTTTGCAGTAAATTGATTTTGAGTCTGAGCTCCTTGACAAACGCGTCCTCTTGAGGCACTTGGAACATCCCAACCCAAGTGGGAATCTGTAGTCAATGAACATTAGTGTTTTGCCTGAAGTAAGAATTCAAGGTATCTCCCTTGGTTGGAAAGGAACCCAAAGAAATTGATCTTGCTTTCACTTGGGGGACAGTCCCAGTCGTTTCCTGGCTCACCCCCTTAGCGAACCTGCAGGGATTGAATTCGTGCTGGTGAAGGGAAGCCCTCAGGTTTTTTGTCACGTCTCTCTGGATTACCTGGCATATTCCCGTGCAGGGATATCGTACTCTTCTTGAGGCAGGAGGTTCACCAGGGCTTGCATCTACATCCCACAGCAATGCTCTGCGCAGTGGCACTTCTGCGGTCTATAATGGTCTATAATGGTCTATAATGGTCTTCTGTCTTGGCAGGTCCAGCTCTCTGCCTAGAGAAAGCAGCGGCGCTGCTCCAGAGACCCACTGGGCACAGGAGCCTGACCCATGCCGGGAAAGGTACGGAGCCAGGGGCCCGGAGGTGCTTTACTGCTGTCTTGCACACCTTGCCTTCTCCCTGTTGCCCTGTGGGAAGGCATCACAAACGCTCATCTCTTGGCTGCTGAAGTCTGAAACCAACTTCATCCTTTGCTCACACCGTGGATGGGTTTAGAGCCAAGTGCTAAAGCTGCTATAACAGGCTTTTTCCTCCCTGACCAGGATCACTCCAGCTTATGAAGAACAAACCCGTCCCACCACAGAGAGGCACCACGAGAGCCCAGGAGACTGGAGACACCAGGAGCCGAACCCCATGGCAGCCAGGTGCAGTGGGACCTTCCCTTTGTTCCTCCCCGTCAAGGGCTCTCAGTTCCTCATCCTTTGCCATTCCCGCTTCTCGATGCACACCGGGCTGAAGCCCTGGGCCGCTGTAAATCTGCCCAGCGTACGGTAATCGAGTGACGCTGGCGAAAGGAATATTAGGTTTGGGTTTCCATCCACGTGTGGCTGTTCGTATTTCATCCCAGTTCACAAATTAACCTCAACTGCTGAGCCTTGCAGCGTTTCGTTGTGCTGGGAACTCAGCTCAAGGCGGTGAGGGAAGCAGCACAGACCTCTGCCATTCCCCCTGCCCTTAAGAACCTCCCAAGAGCACGGTGGCCCAGGTTTTCCTCCTTGCCAGTGGAAAGAGGCGTGATCCAGCCTCGGCAGATTCTGAACACTTGGGTGAGCTGTTGGCTTGATGGTCAGATTGGCTCGAATTCTTTAGCAGGGCTCACTTCAGCTCACAAGAGAGCGCCCAGGAGACCCAGCATCCCATGCCACTGTACGTGGACCGCCAGCCTTTTAACGCCAGCGTGCCAGCCCCCAGCCACAGGATACCATCCTATGTGGACAGCCAGGTGTTCAGCACCAGAAGGTGAGGGTTTGGGGATGGGATACGGAGAGAGGGAAAGCTGCTGGCGCAGAAATACGTGACAGAAACTCTGGCCCAGGTTGTGCGATCGCTGCGTCGAGAAGTGAGAACAGGATTTTGTTCCCAGAGGGAGCAACCGTATTGCCAGGTCTCGCCACACGTGGAGCAAGGTCATTTTTGGACCTGAAGGGCTGAAGAAAGGGGTTCAGGAGATCTGAGCTGATAATTGCTCTGTAACACTGGAAGAGTTCTTGGCAGGCTGTATCCAGACCACCTACACGGTGCCTGGAAACCCGGCAGATGTGGAGACCACATCTGCTTCTCCTCTGTAGCTGCAGAGATGGTGATCCAGGAGCAGTCTGGGTTTTATTTCTCACGACCCTTGATGATGTAACAGACAAGTTGTACACTCATAACTACTATTTTTACATGTGTATGTCTCTGCAGTCATGTGATCTGAGTGTAGCCTTCACCTCCCTTAGCACTTTTCCGAAGGCTGGTGGCACAAAGCTCCCATTTACTTTTGGAGGCATTTGAGGACTAGGACCAGAAAAAACGGGACAGACCTTTGTTGTACTTGATGGCTGTCCTCACGCCCCGGCGCTGCGCGGTGCTGACGGGTCTCTGCAGTGCACGAAACTCACGCTTCATTCCTGCCCTTGGGTTGCTATCACAGACCAAATGCCTGTCTTGCCCAGAGCAGGGTTTTTCTCATCTTCTGGGATGAGCTTAGCCTCTCCCTCTTTCTCTCTTCAGTGCAGCATTGTTTTGCAGTGTTTTGCAGCGTTGTTTAACGTGAAGTTGTACGGCTGCCTGAAGCTTTAATCAGGATCAAAGTGCTGATATACAATATAAACATCATCTGTGCCCCAGGGCACTTGCAAGAAAAGAATGCCCGTAAGCCGTAAGCTCGTTTTCTCTATTGAAATAAAGAGCCTGAGCCCTGCCCGCAGGTTCCAGCCATTCCAATAATGGGCTCTGCCTTGGACAAGGGAAAACGGGCAGGCCTGGCACCCCGATGGGCCAGCTGGTCCGCAGGTCACACGTGCAGATGGTGCAGCGGTGGCTTTGGTGGGTGCTGGGGAAGGCAACAAGATTTATCCACTTCTGAGCTGCTTCGGCTTTGCTCTCGAGCGTTAGGCTTGGAGTCTGCTTTCCTCCCTCAGAGCTTGCTGGGCAGGCTGCAGCTGCAGAGCCGGGGCAAAGGGGGAATGTCGTGACAGCAACTGCTGAGACAAAATACTGGTTACCCCTGTGGGGACTCCAGTGACGCCTGGTACGATGTGATCGGGGCTTTGTGCTTCCTTGCCAGGCCTACCCCGGATTACGAAGGGAGAGTTTATGAGGGGAGAGGCAGCCCTAGGAGCAGCAGATATGACAGTCCCAGTGCCAGGGGGCACTGTGAATTTAGCCCCACAGCTGGACGGTAAGGAGTCCAAGATGGGGGGAGGGAATCCAGACTTGTTAACCCAAAGAACACCCCGCTGCTACACTTACTCAGTATCTGGAGTGTCCTGACCCGCTTTTTACTAATCCCCTGGATCTAAGCGTGTGCAGCGAGGTGCTGCTTGCGAGGAGGGCTGTGGGGCGCGGGGGATTTTGGCGCTCAGCGGGGGAGACGTTTGGCCGAGATTCTCCCCACTTGTGAGAATCCCTCGTGTGCGCGGGGTCAGTGCTTGAGACTCTTGTCGCTTCCTTTGGCAGCCACGACTCCCTCCCCAGGGATACCACCCTGTCCGTTCCCCAGAGAAGCCACAGGGTGCCGTTCTACATGGACAGCTTGAACTATAACAGCACCAGGTAAATGGGTGGACTCGGTGGTTGTGAGGAAAACCTCCGTGCAAGTGTTGGGGAAGAGAAGCCAGGAAGCAAACCAAGAGCTGAGAGAGACACAAATGGTTTCCAGGGAGCAGATGTGTGATCTAGAGGCACAGAACTACCCTTAAACCTTTCCTAGCAAAAGCCACCCAGCACAGGGGCTGTGCTACATCCACCTCTGGTCTCTGTAGCTTTTTCACCATGTGGGGTGCCACAACGGAGTGACAGGGGAATGAAGGGTTGGTTCCTGGCTACCCTCCCTTGACCAGAAATGGGCCTTTGCAGAGGCTACAGGAAAAAAAAAAAAAGAGCTAAAAGCAACAAGAGGGGCCAGAGAGAGGGTCACGATCTCCAGAACGTCAATGATTAGATGACTGAACTGGCCCCAGAACGAGGCTGTTGGAAAGGGTAGGAGGAGGTGCCCAATATGGAATACCGTGACCCTGGGCTTTCCGCAGTCCTTCGTCGCACCGTCAGTCCATCCACACGTGGTCTGGCACTGTACGGAGGCACCAGCGTAGGTCTGAGCGGTGGATTGGTAAAGGGGAGCGTGCTGTGGGTGTGAACAGGGGGCACAACATCCCTGGGTAGCCCAGGACTGGCTCCAGGCGGGGTCAGCTTCACCCCTGCAAAGCAAACGTAGCAGGTCCCATTGCCGAGTGGATGGGCAAGGCTGTTTTCCAAAGGCATTTTAGGAGCCAAAGCTTTGCCACCTTCTCCCTTCTGCGGCTCTTGAAATGATTAAGTTGGGGACAGTTCTGCTGGGGGTAGTTATGGTGGGCTTTGGCCAGTACGTCCCCGTCTCCTCCTCTCCTGCAGTGTGGTGTGTGCTGTTTCCCTCCATAGCTGCTCCCGCTCAGGCTGCAGGATTGATTTAAGGTCTGGAGTTATTTGAAGAGCTTGTTTGATCTTTTCTCTCATGGCCCTATAAATGAGACTTTTTTTTTTTCCAAATCACTTCTCCAGGGAAGTAGTACTGTTCCGTGGCTGATATAAAAAGAGAAAGGAACCTTTTTGGTCTGTGATAAAGATGAATTAATCCGTATGGTTAAGGGCCTTAATATTGCAGCCTCCCAAACGGCCCTCCTAGCAGCAGGGCTAGGCCTTTTCTTGGCCACCAGATCACGTCATGGCTCCTGTGTCCAGCGCCACGAGACTTTTCTCTCTCTCTCTCTCACCAGGCTTCTCTCGAGTTCGAGCGAGAGGATCTGCAGCCCGGTGCCCACCTTGCCGCCCCACAGCCCAGTGGCCTCTGGCTACCAGCCCGATTCCAGCGCTGCCGGGTAAAGAGCGACGGGGGGTCGCGCCCCTCCTGCTGCAATCCAGGCTCTGCTGCCTGGCGTGTGGCCCACGGGGACGCTTCTCAGCCGCTTCTGGCTCGGAGCACAGGCATTGCCGTGGTGGCCAGAGCCACCCAGAAGGCAGAGATGGGCTGGGGGGCTTTGCTCCGGGTGCCCTTTTATAGACACCGGGATGTAGCTCCCTGTAGGAGTCGTGTCTTTTCTGTTTAGCGCGGCAAAATCATGACTCCTCCGTAAGACACCGCAGCTGGAGGGACACGATGGAGCTCCTCGTGCCGTACACGCTCCTCACACGTGTGGGGCTCTTGGGAGACTCTTTGCCTTGCTGTCTGTTATGAACTGGGGCTGGAGCCAGGACCCTGTCACCTATGACTGAGGACAGCATCCCGTGTGGCTGTCAGCTCCGAGCTGGAGTCTGGGATTTGTGGTTTCCACAGGCTCCACCTGCAGTGAAAGCTGCTGCCCAGTTCTGCACAATTTAGAGAGGGGTTTCAAAGCGGTGAGGGGTCAGCACAGGCTTTGCTAGGTAAGATTTGGGTCCTCCTGGCCTTGCTCCTGCCTGCTTATCACAACCCCTGTCCAAGCAGGAGACTCTCAGCTGAAACACTTGACAGGGGAAGTGTCTCGGCCAAGTTAAAAGAAAGCTTTGCTTTTCTTCCCTTAGCTGTGACACGGCTTGGTTTGCTCCTGTGAGGAGAGAGGATTAATCGTAGCTTATAGGCAGCGACGAAAATGCACCGTGGAGAAAGAGCTTGATTAGTTCCTTTTATGGCTCTGGAAAGAGCCGGTGGGCACGTGGCTCCCCTCGATCTGTGACGGAGCTGCGGACAGACGGACAGATGGGGGGCGTGTAATTTTGAAACCGGAATTTTAAAGAGGGAGGAATAGGCGAGAAAGGTCAGCGCCGTAAGCAAAAACATCCCCAGACCCAACCAGCAGCGATTTATAAGGGATGGAAACGCTGGAGACAGTCCAGCCACCAACCGGGGCGGTGAGCAGGGCTGTGCCAGCCGGGTGTTAACGCTAACGGGCAGAACCACAAGCTCTCTCAATGCTTATTGTGTGCCTAATCCTGACACGATTTGAAAAAGACTTAGCCTTGCAAAACAGGGGATAACGGGATGAAAGAGTTATATTATCCACCCCATTCTTTTTAATTACCTCGATTTGTTTTGGTGGGTTAATTAGAGGGGTGTAGTAGTTGCTATTTAGCCACAGTGCTTGATATTGAGTATTTATTCAAGAACAGCAGCGTCTCGCTCTGTGCCTTCTCGTGCAGGTGGCACAGAGTGCACCGCTGTGGTCCCTGGCGCTGCCTCTCCTTAGCTCCGGCCTTTTCTAACGCAAATCCTTCTCGTTCTGCTTCCCTCCCTCCCTAGAAAAGGGGTCCTCTTCGTGAAGGAGTACGTGAACAGCAGCGAGCTGTCGGCCTCCCCGCGCTACGGCAGGTACGAGGGGCGCCCAGAGCCGGTCGTGTGTGTGTCTCCAGAGGTGGGCAGAGCGGCGGCAGGATGGCTGGGCCAGCCCCTGGAGCGGTCAGCGCTGCGTCAGCACGCCCTTGTGCCCGAGCCATTCGCCCCGGGGGGATTATTGCATCGGGTGGGCTGTTTTGCTAAGGCAGCAGTGCTGCTCTGGGGACCCCAGGGATGTCTCGGGCACTGGGCTGTCTGGTCCCAGAAGGACCTCTGTCCCGCAGCTCCTAGAGGAGGGGTGAGCTCCCCGTCCGAGTGGGCTGGTCTCTAAGGCGGGGGATGGGACGCAGAACCGACGCTGCAGTTTTTTAGGCTGCGTACTTGGTGCTGTCAGGCTTCGCTGTGCTTTTGCACACATAAACAAAGGACTGGAATCGGTGAGAAAAATGTGGAGGTTGGGGGTTCTCAAAAAAAAAAAAAAAAAAAAAAGAAAAAGTGAATTGTGAGTCAGAAAAAGTTAAAAGATGCCATTTCCAAGCTTAAATCTTCAGCTTTTTGCGTTCTGCTCGAAGGTAACTACGTAAAGCTGCTTCAGATTGACACCAATGTGACTGAGAGCAGAATTTAGCCCAACGTACCTCGTGCTTACAGGGATGTGGCAGCCAGTTAACACCCAGTTTGATGCCTCCCTGCTGGCGTTTATCCTCCCTCAGCGCTGTGCTGGCGTGGCTGCGCTAGCTGATTACAGGCCCCACAAATCTCCAGCTTTTCCGGGAGGTCAGCAGAGCAGATGGCAGCAACCAAAGATAAGCCTGTTGCCCCAGCCTCTAAAAACCACGGGCAACCCGAAGGCCGGGAGGGAACGCTCAGCTAGGTGGGACTAAGGAGGTGCTCTGTGCCTTTCCCTGCGTAATAGCTCAGGATTTGGGGCGAGTACGCAGTGAGAACAGCTCCTATTTATAGGGTCCGTGTGTAAACAGCAGTGAGGCCAGACGAGTCTCAGCGATGAGTGCACCGGAGGCAGGATCTCGCAGGTTGCCTGTCCAGCAGCAGCGCGGGGTTTTGCCAATCCCACGTAGCAGCCAGTGGAAAACGCGTTGGTCCCCGTCGGCTGGGTCCCAGCCCAGGCGTGTCCCAGCTCCAGACGTGCCGGACGGCGTGCTGTGGGCCCGCGGGCAGCGGAGCCAAGGCTCTCGCTGACAGGGGAGCCCTTGTTTCCCCTTCCTCCTCTCCTGCTCCCCCTATTTTTAGCCCTCCTTCCCAGCTTGGCAAGGTTGTTGGGTCTTCTCAGCCTTCTCCTGAGCGCTATCTGGCAGACCCTCGCGTGGGATTAACAGCACGGGCTTCCTGGCAGGGAATGGGGATACTGCCACCGCTGTGGTGAACCCGCAGCGTGAATCCAGCACAGCTGGAGGTGCTGCTGCTGGCAGCCCCTCTCTGGTAGGGAACCCCCTTTTCAGAGCTGGTTAGGAAGGACCAACCTTCTCTGCAAGCACCAGGCAGCTGGGACGTTGCAGTTCGGACTCGGGTTAATGATTAATGTTTCCGTCTGAGATGCTTTTCCCCACGTGTCGCTGTCAAGTGCTGCTCTTCCCTTCTGTCTCCAGCGGCAGCCTTGTGGATTTGACCGATGTGGAGCGAGCAGCCTACAGCCACCACAGCTACCTGCCCAGCGCTCCCCTGCAGAGGTAGGGCACTTCGGGGTTGCCTTGCGGGGGCGGTTCCAGCAAACTGTTCAACAGAAAGGACTTTCAGGTTCTGCTTTTTTAGAATATTGGTATGTGTTTGGTGAAGTAGCAGCGCGAAGCGTGAAGGGTCTTGGGAAAATACAGTGACACTGACTTTAGGATGCGCCCTGCCCTGCTGTAGTGGTCTCTGCACGCCGAGGTTAACACACGTCCCTCCGTGCTGTCACTTGGCATGGCCAGACGTAGTAGAAGCAGGTAGCTCGTGGAGAGCAGTGCTGGCGTTGGGTAAGAACCCTCTGGAACCAGCACTGCGACTGGAACCAGTCTGTGCTACAGAGGAATTCACTCTCCTGTTCCTTCACAGGTCCAGTGAGCCTGTTTGCAGTTACTGCAGCCGTGAGATCCGAGACTGCCCTAAGATCATCGTAGAGCACCTTAACATCTGCTGCCACGAGTACTGTTTCAGGGTAAAAAACCCCAAACCCTTCACTACTGACCGCCTCCTGGGTGCTGCTGGGAAACGGGGTGGTGGGAGGAGGAATCTTGGTGCAAATTTCTCTCCTCGGGCTTCCAGAGTCTGCAGTGCGCACCAAACGCTGGCGTCCACGGCGGGACAAAAAAGCCACACAGTCACGGGTGGTGGTTCTGTCCCCAAAAGCTTTTCAGCTCCTCAAATAAATGCCTATTAGGACAATGAGAATTCTTTACTGACAGAAGAGCAGCACCCTCTTTTCCCTGTCCTTGTGGCAGACTCGCTGCTTTTGTGGCCTTTGTGGCCCCAGTGCGGGTCTTGCCGAATCCCTCAAACCTTGCCAGGTTCACAAGTCGAGGCTGTGGGAATTGGTGGGTGTGGGAGGAGGAAGCCTGCGGTGGCATTTGCCTGTTGTGGAGAAGTTTAGCCCCAAAGGTCACCGCTTTGGCCTCCTCACACCTTTATAAAATGCTACAGAGACCGTTTCCCCACCCCCTCCACGCTGCCGCCGCTGCTGCATGGTGCTTTGGTTACCGTCCAACCCCCGTGTTTTCCCTTTGGCAGTGTGGAATTTGCCACAAAGCGATGGGAGACTTTCTGGATAAAATATTCATCCACCGGGACATTGTCCACTGTGACAAGTGCTACGAGAAACTCTTCTAGGTGAGTGCCCCTGTCCAGTGTCGGCGTAAATGGCTGGGTGAGGGAGCTCACCGAGTTTACTGAATAAAGAGCCTTTAACCCTCACGTTTAGAGTGACCCACGGAGGGGTTTTCTTTGGCATTTCAGTGGGAGGCAGCGACCCTTGTTGCGGAATTAGCTAGGAACACGCTCGAGCTGGCCCCAGGGGTCTCGGTTAGAGCCAGAACCCCTGGCCATAACGTGATAAACAGGCTGTGTTCGCTTCACGTGGGGCAGACGGGCAGAGGGCTGGCTTGAGTGGTGACAGCAACGTCCCTCAGAGGTCGAGAGTCCTCTCCAAAGGCGATGAGAGGGTTCCTCCTTGCCCCCTGGGCCCACCCGCTGCAGGGGGCTGCACGGCAGCGGCTGCGGTCGCAGCTTTACGCAGAGATCCTTCGAGCTGCGAAGCGCTGGGAAAGCGAGGGAGTTGTCTGTTGTGCCGACAAGGAAGGAGGCGGGAGGTGGTTTTGCTTTGTCTGGTTCGCTGGATGGGGCAGGAGTCGCCACAGGGGCAGCCAGAAACTCTGGGATCCTGCAGAGACGCCTCCTTTCCTCCCTCGGCCTCCCGGTGGAGAGGAGGAGGGGAAGGGGCACCTGCCTCGCCGCGTACCCGGCTGCTCCGTTCTCCCCTTGATGCGATGTGACTGGCCAGCCTTTCCCATCCCGTCCCTGCACGCTCTCCCGCTCCACTGACCTCTGGAACACCCCGATATGGGTGGTGCTCACCTTCTCCTTATTTCCTTGCAGGGTCTTGCAAAGCCGGAGAAGGCAGCCCGTGGAAAGGCCTCAGCAGCAGAACCCACCTAGATGTTCCTGACTGGCTAAGATAGCAGAATTCCTGCTCCTCCCTCCTTTCCTCAAGTTATTTCCCCTCTCGCTGCCTCATCACGACGAGCGAGTTGAGCATCCGCTGGTTCGTGCTGTCAGCTGCGTACGAGCCAAGTGCCAGCGGTGACAGGATGAGGCAGTGGCATCCCCAGAGATAAGTGGGCTGATGTGCCAAAGGTGCTGAGCCCCTCCGCCTGTCTTTTCATTAGGATTCCAGAGTGCTCCCTGCGTTGGAAATCAGGCAGAGCTCCTTGGGTCTCTCTAAGCTAATTGCGAGAAACCTTTTCTGATCTATTTTTTCCTTTTTTTCCTTCCATTTCTGCAACCAGGCTGCAGCTTAGCGTGTGTGAGCTGGCACGGAGCAAGCAGATACGAGAAGCGCTAAACCCTAAATTTGGATTCTTGGGAGGGTTTGAATTTAGTTCTTAGCAAAAGCCTATTTCTGCTTCGCTCACCCCCAAGTTCTGCCTAGAAATAGCTTCTGCCTGATTTCCATTCGCCTCCCGCGGACTTTCAGGAGCACTCGCAGACTCACTTTGCTCTAATTGTGTGTCAGCTTTAATTTCCCTTTCCTGCCTGCTCCCTCGAGGGCCGGTGGCTGCAGCAGTGTGTGCGCCCGCTGTCTGTTTGGGAAGATAACGCTCGCTTTCACCTGGTAGTTTAACGTGGCCTCTGAGGGTAGGTGTCTCCGGGCCGTGCACAACGTGCCGGAGAAGAGGGATCTCAATTGCCTCTTGGCACGGCTTGACTGAAATCTGAATTCCCCCCCCCTTGCCGAGATGCCGCCTCTTGCTGTAAATTATTTAACCTCACAAACGCTCCCTCACAAAACTGAACTTCCAGCAGATGTGGTACCGCCTCAAAGCCCGAATCGCGTCATTTTAGCCCTTAATTCAGAGGCTGAGAGGCTGAGAAAGCTGAATACCGAAAGCTGAAAGCCAGCCCCTAAAAGCACAGCTCTGAATGCGCCCGTGTCCTCTTTGAAAGCGCCAGGGGCGTCCGCAAAGCGCCCCACGTAGCTCTTGGGTGGAACTAAGCGAGGGCCAAAGCTCTGCCGCGGCCTACCCTGAGCCGGGGAGCTCTCCAGGCGGTGGGAGCTGGCCCGCAGGCAGCAGCTCAGCAAGGGCAGGTTTTACAGCACCGGGGCTGCTTTGCTCTTTTTTTTTTTTAGGCCGTTGTACCAGTTTTTGAACCGAACTACAGGCACGGCCTCGGAAATGAGCCCAACTGAAGGCGGTAACGCCGCTGCTGGCAGAGTTAAAGCTGTG